AGTTGTATGTATCATACATACAACATGTATGCCCATTGAATATTTCTTGTCAGTAAAAAAGTAACAAAGAACAATAATAATTGTTTGTGATTTTTTTCCCTGTACCTATTTACGGTGTCTTAACCCTAACCATGCGATCCTGTTTTTTTTCTAAAGCAATTTTGATTTTGAGTACAGTGTTTAATCATAAAACGACGATGACATTGAACTTGTCGAAGTCAAAATACTATTCATTCGTGATTGGATCCAGGGTCGTTAACATTATTCATTGGTACTCTAGTGCAATACTAATGACTCGGAATACTAATAATAACGTGTTTTATAAGATTAAAACCATATAAGCTCTTTTCGGTTTAACTTAGCGCATACTAATACATATATTTATAATTTTACGTCCCTCATAATAAATACAAAAAGTAGGTATTGTTTTATATAATTGAGCGCGATCAACGGTACCAAAATAATAAAAGAAGACATATAATAAAAGTAATAGGTAATTTAAAGTAAAGAAAATTTACTCTGGTGATTAAACACGTTTAATTGTTTCAGTAATAACATGTTTACATTTTGTCTGTTACAATATTAGTCAATATGATTGGACTCTTAAAAAATATATATCGACGGATTTTTACAGAAAACAATGTTTTTCATACGTTAAATGAACACAATATTACCTGTATACAAAAATGCAAAAATTTAAAAATCTTCAATCACTTATGTGAAATCTAAGCTTATTAACGTGATTGAAATATATATTTTTTATACAAAACTTAAAAACATAATTTTGATTTACTTATTTTGAATACTTTATATATACCTCATTTATCCGACATGCTTTTTTTTTAAATCGGTCAATTTTCCCATTATACAGGGCGCGTTCAAAACTTGAAAAATACGTATAAAAAGTAGAACTATTTCAACTTAACTTTTGAAAATGTTCCGGAAATACTGCGTCTTTTAAATATATGTTAACTTAAAACTTATGTTACCTATTACAAATAAAAAAAAAATTGTCCCGACGACTTATCTTTTATGTACAAACGGTCATCGAACTTAAACAAATTTATTAAATATTTATTCATATATTAAATTTGTATATTATAATACTTGTAATCAGGATATAAATAAGGATATAAGAGTTTATTTTGATTTTGGAATAATCTACCAATTTCTTAAAATTAAACTCTATTTACAGATTTGCTTCGGAACGTTTCTTATTATAGTGATTTTAATTACTGTCAGATATCGTCTATACTTGTCCCAAATATGCCACGCCACACTGTACACCCGTTTTATTTTTTATTATTTCAAAATAGCCACTTTTTAGTCAATTTTCTTACAATAAATTTTGATGGATTGAGAACAATTTACATATTGTAACTCAATGAGGACGAGTCATAATTGAGTTTTAAGCATTTTACCTACACATGTGTAGGTGATGTCTTTCAAACTTTTCCTGTATTTAGAGTTTTCATTGCATTTTTATTAAAAAGCAAACCAAAAGAAAGAACAAAAGGAAAGTAGCGGCACTTATCCTAAGCTCCACGATTCTAAAATCGTAATATTATTGAACTTTCCACATATTAATTACTAAAATTTAAACATGTATTATAATGTTATAAAATGCAATTTATTTTTTATAGGTTTATTTATGGAAATACATCTTTATTTACATAAATGTACTCAAGCTACTTTATTAATTTATATAAATTAATAAAGTAATATTTGTTTTGAGCTGCTTTTGAAATGCATAAAAATTTTCAACAAAATGTTTTGAAGGCCCCCATTGAAATTCCTCCTTTTTTTTATATTTTAATATATATAATTTTTCTGAAATTTTGAATGGACTTAATCCTCCAACTAGCGTCTATGATGTTATCTACAGTATACACATTTTGAGGTTCAAACATTTAATTATTTGTTGTATATGATTAATATGTTATATTTAATGTAAATTACAATAAACACCTTTAAATACTATTTAATAGTTAAATATTTTAATAAACATAAATCTTTTTAAATATGATGTTTGTTTTTAAGTTGAAACGTTTCTTATTTGAAACAGTTTTATTTATTTCATAGAATAAGTTTAGTTTGAATAATTATTGCTTTCTAACACGCATAAAACTAGGAATTTAAGCTTTATAATTTGACCATGACACTTTAAAATTATGCGTACTAACATTCGTGTAATTCATTGTAGTTTTAATAATTCTATGATTTTTTACATGTCAATCATCTATTAACGTAGAAAAACCAGGGTACAAAATACCTTAAAAAAATCAAATTTCATCTATTAAATTAAATTCTTTGCTTAAAAAAAAAATTTTCTGTGTTGTTATTTTAATGTTTTAAACCAATAAAATTAGCAAAATAAATGTATAATTATTATTTTTTTGATAATGATTTAATAAATTAATAAATTATTTTAATCATTATTATTTTAAACTGTTTAAATAAGGAGTGGTTCAGAAGGGCAATAGGCCACTTATTCTTAAGGAAAAGTCTCAAAATCCTACAACAAATTACGGTCAACATACGGTCAATCAAAAATAATTTTTAGCTTTATTTAAATTTTTTAAATAAAATATAATTTTAAAATGTACTGTCATTAAATTCCTCTAAAATTTTACGTCTTTTTCGACAGTATTGTCAAAAAAAATTTAACTGTTTAATGATTAATTTTCTTTCTTGGTAAGCACCGAAGTTAACCTACTGAGAATGATGGATATGTAATTTTTTAAAAAAAATTTTTTTTTATTTTATTGTAATTTTAACTTTAGTCTCATATTTGGTTAATTCATTCATTGTATGAAAACAAAAAATATATTTTTAGCAATTAATAAAAATATGTAACCATTAATTAAAGGTTTGCATCCAACATTAAAATCATGGGTATGCCACTATTCAAAACTTATTTATATAGTTATGGTTTTAGTTTTACAGTTTTATCGTGTGGGATAGATTTTTAACGTTACACTTATTACGTTAAAAATTATTTTAATCGTTATTATTTTAAACAGAGTATAAATAAGGGGTGTTTCAGAAGGGCAATAGGCTACCTGAAAATTCTTACGGTCAAATCTCAATATTAAAGAGAAAACCCTACAACAAATACTGTCAACATGTGATCAATCAAAAATAATTTTTTAACTTTAGTGTGAAGCTGAGAAGGTATTAATTTTACTATCGTGTATTTTTTTTATGTCAGTCGTTACTTTTTTTCAGCTCAAATTTAAAAATTGGTAATTTTTGACATTTTTTCAATTTTTTTTACTTAAAATTGCCATAACTTTTAGAAAAACGAACGAATAGAAACCATTTTTTTTTTATAGATATATTAGATAATTACTTATCATTTGGTATTTTTTTTTTTTAATCTGACCCTTCACATACCCACAGAATTTAAAATGATAGCATTTTTAACTTTACTTTTGAAAGTGTTCGGGAAATACTTATACTTTTAAGTACAGATGATTTTTTTATCATAATCCACTCAATTACTTCTGTAATTATCTGTATATCTTAAATTAAGGCTTATGTAATGTACTTTTTTCTTCTTTTTCCTCGCCTTAATCCCAACTACTTGGGGTCGGCCACCCTTATCCTAAACTTCCTCTCACAACCTTCATATCCATTCATATCCTTTACCTAACACCGCATCCTCATTGCCAGGTATCCCTTGCATCACCTCATACAACTCACTCCAAGACATTTCCCTGTGTATTTTATCACATCCTACTTGTAGTGCATAGGCACTTATTACATTCAACACTTTTTCCTTGAAAATCAATTTTACGACCATAATTATGTCACTTTTCCGAGCTACTTCTACTAATTTACTTTTCATCTTCTCGTCCATTATTATCCCTACATCATCCCTTATACATGAGTCTAGCCTAGAGTTAAGTGGTGATGTACCCACACTGTTGACACTACAAACATTGAGTACACCTGTACACATGACTGGTGAAACTTTATTTCCTCTCACCTATTGCCCCTGCGTACATCTGAAAATGAAATTCGCCTAAGTTTTGTTCAGAACTCCTCTTACTTTTTGACAAAAATTTTATGGCAGCTGTCGACCTGACGCAACCTCATTAGTCATCTCTTACGACTGGCAGAAGGGCCGTGGAAGTATTCTTATCCCCTATCCATAGGGACAGCTTAAGTAATGTACTTTAATATGGAAAAAAAATGTCGAGTTTTATTTAGTCTTCATGGTGAAAATGCCATTAATGTATTACACTTGTATCTACTATGCCTCGTCCCGACTTTATTGAGATGATATTTTATACCGTATATTCTCATTATTAATAATGAATTTGTCAATTAATTATTAGTTATTATATTAATTATAATAATTGTAATCAATGTTTGAACAAATCAAGGGTTGATAACGTTTTAATAAAGTAATAACTGTAACGTTAAAAATTTATCCCACTCGATAAAACTGTAAAACGAAAACCATAACTATATAAATAAGTTTTGAATAGTGGCATACCCATGATTTTAATGTTGGATGCAAACCTTTAATTAATGGTTACATATTTTTATTAATTACTAAAAATATATTTATTTGCTTTCATACAATGAATGAATTAACCAAAGATGAGGTTTAAATTAAAGACATACTTTTTACGTCTATGGTTTAAATACTTGCAATAGCAAATCTTATAATAGGGGTTAAAAATAAAAATTACCTGCTATTAGTATTTTGTGTGGTTGAAAAACGTGTTCCGCAAACTAAACTGATAATCAAAATAATAAAAAATTTGATAGAACAACAAAATTATTTTATAGGAGACCCCACGATTTCTAGCCCTGATCATCAATTAAATACTCTAACTCAACTATGTTTATCAGTAGAGCGATATAATTGAACGCTTAATAAAAGTGAAGAATAACGTAAGATGAATTATGACTAAAATAAAATTGGATAGATGGTAATTTTTTATCTCTTTCCTAACTATGCTGACTAGTTATCATTTTATTACCGGTCACTACAAACTGTCACAGAACAGTTCTTCGTTACTATCGCTCTTATTGAAAATTATCTTATACCTACTATTATTTATTTCAAATTTACTATTTGAACTTTCATTATTTTAAAATTATTTACTGTTAATAGTAGTTTTTTCAATATATTACTCTTATGATCTTATTGTTTTCACCAAGTATATTATGCTATAGATTTTCAAGGTGTTTTTTATTGTCTAAATTCAAAAATTTTAATACTTCTACAATGAGTTCTTTAGAAAATATATTCAATGGTTGGAATGATGTTAACCAGCGAATATTAAAAGCTACAGAAAATAAAGAACAAGTAATTTCGTTTTTTTTATGTCTAAATCAAATTTTCAAAATATTAACAAGTCAAAATAAAAAAAATATTTTCTACAATAACCAATATTTATAATTGCATTTTTATTGTATGCTTTATATAGAAACATTTATAATAGAATTATTATATAGAATGCTGAACGAAGAAGAGGTAGAGGAAGACCAAAAAAGAGATGGAAGGATGTAATTGAATGCGATATGAGGACAGCTGATGTGAGCGTAGATGATGTGGGAGATTGTGTTAGGTGGAAGTTTAGGATAAGAGTGACCGACCCCAAGTAGTTGGGATTAAAGCGAGAAAAAGGAAGAAGATTTATAATAGAATTCATAAAATAACAGTTTTTCCTTAGAAGTTAAATAGTTCTTATATTACTGTTTTCAAATAAATTAAAAAATGTTATATACTAATTATATATTTTAAGAATTTTTGTTAAGAAAAAATGCAAATAAAAATTTATTATCAAAAACTAATTTACAGAAATTCTTAAAACCAAGACTAGTTGCTGTTAGTAAAACTAAGCCAATTGAACAAATAATTTATATCTATCATAAAGGTCAAAGACATTTTGGTGAAAATTATGTCCAAGAGTTACTTACTAAAGCTAATGATCCTGAAGTATGTTTTTATTTTATTACTCAAAATTGTATATAATAATTGATAATAGTAAAATATTTAGTTGTTGGAAAAATGTCCTGATATCAAATGGCATTTTATTGGTCTTGTTCAAACAAATAAAATATCAAAAATTTTATCTGTGCCTAATTTAGAACTTATTGAAACAATTCATTCTCAAAAATTAGCTGATGCTCTTAATGCAGTCTGGAAATCACAAAATAATAATTGTCTGCTAAAAATTATGGTACAGGTGAATACTAGTTTAGAAGAAGGTTTGTAAAATATATTTGATCTTCAGAAATTTATAAATTTAAGTTACATATTAACTTTAAAACTTTTTCAGTTAAAATAAATCATATGCATTATTATTTAAATACACATATACTGGGTTAAGGTGTAATAAATGTAAAAAATAATGTTATTTCATATCATAAATAAATATTTTAGTAAAATTGTAGGGTTTGCTCTATATTCCTTGAGTCCTCTAATGAATAGTGATAATTGTTTAGTTGCATACCAACAGGAATTATATAAATATTTTGCTGCACTTCATTCTGCTTCATTACATTATTGCTGAAAATAGATATTATCGTTAAATATAAGTTAGAAATAATTTTTAATAATGTTTAAACTGAATTTATCATTTTGTACTCACCTTTATGTATTGAGTTTTGATTTTATCTTAGCATTTTTATTTTTTAGAAAAAAATGGAGTTTTACCGAATAATACAGTTAATTTATGTAAACATATAAAAAATAATTGTGAAAATCTTAAATTAATTGGTCTTATGACCATAGGACGATTTGGTTATGATTGTTCTCTTGGACCAAATCCAGATTTTTTGGTGAATAAAAATTAAACTAATGAATATAATAAATATTTACTCTTAATATTTTTTAGGCTTTAGTTGAATGTAAAAAGAAAGTTTGTATGGAGCTTAATTTGGACTTAAATGAATTTGAATTATCTATGGGAATGTCAGATGATTTTGAACATGCTGTATGTATTCTAAAAAGTATAATGTTTATATATATATATAAAATTTTACTCAATTTTCTTTTAAAAATAGATTGAATGTGGAAGTACAAATGTTCGAGTGGGAAGTAGTATTTTTGGTTATAGACCAAAAAAAGAAAAATAACTGGCTTAATTTTATTTAAATAATGAAGAAATCTATGAATGATTATAATAATTATTTATTAAATAATATACAAATTTTGTTATGAAAAGTTATATTTTAAATGATAATTGAATGTTTTTATTAGAATTTCAACATTTTAGTCTGTATAATATTTTTACCTGATAATTATAAACCAAGTACCAATTACAAATATTTAAGAAATAAAAATTAAAAATTTGTGGAATTACATTGGTTTTAATATTTGTCTTTTGATTCTACTATTTTCAAAAAATTTATCCAACTTATATATTTTTATTTTAATGCAAGCTATTTAAATTTATGCCATTATGTCTAGACATATAAAGACTTATACATGATTATTTTTACTACTAAATATTAAATTTAATAAAAAAAGGATTTAATTTTGTTATGATGTGCTGTATGACGAGACTGAACTCTCTTTTTAAAAATATATTATATACATTTTACATTAAATTCAAATAAACTTGGAGACTAATAGTAAATACTTGAGAAAAAATTAAGTAATAATGCACTCATGGTTATTTTGTATGATTTATAATATGTAGAGATATAAACCTCATAACCATTTGAAATGAAAATAAAATTCATAAATTTATCATATAATAGACTAAGATAACTTACATTGAGGTACTGAAATAATTAAAAATCTGTTATGAAAATGAAAAAATATTAAAAAAAAAAGTAAGATGTTATATAAAAAAAAATGTATAATAAATATTATATAATACAAAATATTTCTCAGTCTTTTTTATCTTAGCCAGTATAAGAAGATAACACACTAATTTTGAATAAAGTAAATAAAAAAAGAATATAAAGTATTCTGAATTCATCCAATTTATTAATATATTATAATGGCACGTATAAGAAAACAATAATTATATTATACATACATTTTAATGAATAGAAGCAACATACAACTTAAATATAGTTATTATTTATTTATAATTAAAACACAACCATAATTTTATCAAATTTAGTAATTTAAAAAATATTTTATAAAATTAGGTTTATCATAATTTTTTTTAGTACAAATGAAATGCAAAAATACAACAAACCAGATAATGCGTATCTAAGTAAGAAAATAATTTAACACACAAAATTGCATATCAAGATTAATAATACTGTGGCAATAATTTGGAATGTGTTTCAAATATATTTTTGAATAAATAAATAAATTTAAATGTCAATGTTAAGAATTTAAAAATACACTCTTCACTTTAGTTATAATTAGAATATAATAGAATTATAATGAATACAAAATAGATATGTGTTTGTTGTTTTAGTGTTTACTTCAAAAATATGGGAAAACTACATTTATAAATAATAATAATAACCAAAAATATCTATTTATAATAATTAAGCTAAATTCGTAATGACATAATGCTTCTTTTAATTTAAAATATGACATATTTTTTATTAATTTGATCTTTCACTTTTATATAATATAAATAAAAACTTAAAGTCGAGTTATTTTTACCATGATATTTACTTTAAAGAATTAATATTTAAACTTTACTTGTAATAATACCATGTTTTAATCCATGATAATTAATTTACAAAATTTTACTAAAAAAGTTAAATAAATAGTAAATTTAATTTGAAATTATTAGAAATTAAGTAAAAAATTGATTGTTTTAATTTTTTGAGCATTGAATTAAAATATTATCAATAAAATAAATGTATTATGGAAATTTAGTTTTAGAATGTTAGAACTTTGTATTTTAAAATAATAGCATATTTCATAAATTATATAATAATGCTAACATCAAATTGTCTACATCAAAAAACCACAATTTTATATTTAATATTCCAATAATAATAATAATTATGACTAGTATAAATACAAATTTCCAAACATTTTAGTCACATAGCATACATATAAATTATTCTTGGTAAATTATTAATAGTTTATTTATAGAATAAAATTTAAAAATAATATTTTATAGATAATATCATAACTTCAAAATAAAATTTTAAAGAGATTAAAAGTTGAAGAAAAACGTTAAGTATTAAATACAATAATTTGTATCATAAACAGTCTTAATTTTTAAGCAAGAAAAGTTGGTAACAAAAATAGTATAATAAAAACAAAACAATAGATAAAATTGTGCATTAGTTAAGAAGTTTCAATGGATATTAGGAGTAATGTTACGGCTTTTCATATAGCTAACAATCTGTGCTGGTATTTCTGCTAAAACTTCTCTTGCTAAGTGTGATTTAGCATTAAGTGGATTTGTAATTTGTTGGAAATCTTTGAATGGCACAAATTGTACAATATCTCTAGCAGCACGTACTCCATTTATTTCTAAAGTAACAGTATCTCCATCTAGTTCTTCCATTGATTGAAAATCAGCATTTCCCACTCCTACTATGATTATAGATAGTGGCAATGTTGAAGCTTTGATTATAGCCTACAGGAATTAATATATTTTTATGTAGTAAGGACTAATGGAATTTAACATCAAGTTGATTTTATTTTACATTACACTAAATAATGACCAATACTGCAGTTAAAATTTATAATTTCAGAAATTGTTGCATTAAACTAAAAGATAACTATAAAACACTCACATATATATAATAAAAAATTAATAAACTAAAAAAAAATTAAATTGTAAAATTCAAATTAAATTTTACTGTAACAGCAATAACATTACATAAATTTAACTAAAAAATAGTAAACATATTGGAACAAAAAATTGAAAACTTGAGTTGATTTAGAGTTAATTTATTAAAACTTATACTCTCATTTTATTCATCACTTAAAGTTCTGTTGGCTATTATTAATGAATTAATTTAACTTTAAAGGGGCTTGTCCCTTTAAAGATTTCTTATTCTAAAATACACTCATCAATTTAAATGCTTAAAATATGGGTTAGAAAGATATAGATAATTTTACAGATGAATATAATAATAATATATGTATTTTTCATTTAGCAACTATTTTACAAACAGCAAATTTTACTTTTATAGCTTAAAAATACATAACACATAAATTAGTTTTAAAATCATTATATAGCAAATTTATGGATAAATAAATGTATTGTGAATATATAAACAGTCATTATATATTTCAATTAATGAATATTATTTTTTTGTAAAAGTATATATTTATGGTGGGATTTTAATCATTTTATAATATTAACTAATCAAGAATAGATTATGTAGTAATCTATTTTTTTTAAATATTTTTAGATTTGAAAAATAAATACTTTAATTTAACTTGATAAATGATACATTAATAAAATAGTTAATAAAGGATAATAAGAATTTATCAACAATTTAAAAATTTATTAATCATAATAAAATGTAATGATAAATAAAGGGAAAAAAGGATATTTAATGATATAGAACAAAAATTTTGAAAAATCTTATATAAAATTTAAATTGTTAGTATATAGGTATATTTATAGGTTTTATTTAATACCAAATTTATTTAAAATAATAAGCATACAAATAGTATAGGGAGTAAAAATGTATGTATATGCTAAATATATATATAAAAAACAAAAAATTGTATAATTGAATTTTCATTATCAAGTAAATATATCAGTAGTAAAATGATAAATATAAATTATGAATTTTCAAATATTAGTACAAAGGTTATTCAATACAAAAAACTTTTAAAGTAGTTTAAAAACTACTTTTAGTCAAGAATTGTGACACAAAAAGTTGAGAGTATTAAATGAAACTTTGTTAAAATTATTCTGAACACATTAGCGTTAAGTGAAAATTCTTATTTATCTGATTGTAAATATTAAATTAAATTTTTTTATACAAATCAAAAATGAAAAAATTTAAGTTATTGGTTTTTTGGGAATAATATGTTTTGATTTCATATAGTCTACAAATTGTTTTGGAATTTCTGCTAAAACTTCCCGTGCTAAATTAACTTTTGCAAGAGATACACTATCATTGTTTTGAAAGTCTTTAAAGGACACAAACTGAACAATATCTCTAGATGCCCGCACACCATTGACTTCTAATGGCACAGTATCAGCATCAAGTTCTTCCATAGCTGAGAAATCTGCATTACCTACCCCCACTATGATAATTGACATGGGCAATGTTGATGCTTGAATTATAGCCTAAATAATAGGTTTTAAAATAATTGCTTCAAATAACTACTCAAATATCCCAGTAATAGTTAATGTAACGCATCTTGTATAACATAAAACTTATTTAGTTTCTACATAATGATTACTAGTAATAATATTATTTAATTGAAAAACATTTATTAAATCAAATTAAATATAAATTAATGAAGAAATTATAATTTTAATACCTGTTTGGTTTGATGCATATCAGTTATAACACCATCTGTGATAATAAGTAATACAAAATATTGAGAACCGTCTTGATATGTTTGAGCAAATTTTGCAACATGATTAATAACAGGACTGAAATTTGTAGGCCCATATAACTGAACACTTCTAATACAATGATGATAAGCATTTATCACACCTATGAATCAAGTAAAAATGATTCATAGTCATCTCTTAGTAAAATCTTCTTAATATTTAATAAATAAAATAGTCATGTAAATACATTTAAAATTATTACTTGTACTAATATGTATACATATATAAGTAAATATCAAAATGTTATTTTATAACATATATACAACCGAGTAAACTCTAATAAGGTTGACCTACCTGTCGGGAAATTGCTAGAAAAAACCCCTTTAGGGGTTTTAAATTATTAAGATTTAAAAAATACCTAAATTTTGATACAATAAAAAGGAGGTAAGAATATATTTTTTTTATATTAAAGTCCCTAGCATAAAATTTCAAATAAATTACTATAGGGCATTGCAAACTTTTTAAATAAATCATACAAAATAAAGTGTAATGAGTAATTTTTTTAAATTACACTTAAATAATAAATAGAAATTAATTAAAAAATTACTTTTTATTTCAATAATTAAATTACAATAAAATTACTTTATAAGTAGTTTTATTGCTGTAATTGTAATTCAAATTAAGTTACTAACCAACACTGTAAGCAACCTACTATTTTAAATGTAAAATTACATTGATAAATTTGATAATGTAATACTAACCTTCTATGCCTGCACAATAAGGATCACTTGCATGAAGATTTAAAAAAAACTCATGAGACACATTACCATGAGGTGGAATGCGAGCACCAAATCCTAAAGCAGGAAACATTTTGTCACTATCATAATCTTGAATTATTTCACCGACTGCAGCTAAGGCTTGTTCATATTGATTAGGCCTATTACTAAGATAGTGTAATGAATTGTAATCCTTTGGATCTCCATTTGAAGCTAAATTAAAAATTAAAAGAAATGTTAAAAGATTTTGTTCAAAAAGTTCTTCTGTTAGATTATAACCTGTAAAATCAATTGCAAATGTACAGTTTATCTGTGTGCCATTCATCACATAGTCTAGAAATGTGTAGATTTTGTTAACTTCAAAACGATTCAAACGAATGGTGCCATGATTTTTCTAATAAACATAAACACTTGTTTAAAAGGATTTAAATTACAATGTGAACTGCAGGTTTAATATAGTAGGTTAAAAAAAAGTAATTCAATTGAAAATAACTTAAAATTATAAATTAAAAAATACTTACATTTGATTTTGGAACAACAATTTTGTAATCATTTTCAGAACCAGGACCTTTTTGAAATTGATTCATGGTAGAATGAAATTCCCCTAAGAATATTTAAATAATTTAAAGTATATATACTAATTTAAAAAAAATTTAACTGTAAATTAATAATAATAGAAGTAGAAATTGTGATTCTTTAAAAAATATCAAACAAACTTAGGAACAATAAATTATCATTAATATAACATACCAATTAAAATATGATCTCCATTATGTTTGTAATGGTAACAACATACTTTGATGTCCCTATCATAATCTGTACCACACAGTGATCTTACTGGAAGTACTATGGGTTTCCATGAAGGATTTGTGGTCCAATTAGCCACTTCAGTTCTATGTACTAATTGATATTTCCCATCTTCACCTACTTTATGAAATTCCAAAAATGGATATGCTTTTACACACCAAGAAAAAATTCTAAAATCAAAATGAATAATAATTTTGTAAAATTCAATTAAAAATTAAACTAAAATGTAAATAATAAAATTATTTTTTAAGAAATAAATAACACAAACCGAGATATAAATAATTAAAAATGGAAATATGATAGAAATAAGGACTTGAATTAGAAAAAAAAAATTATTTTATCTTTTTGTTGTAACATTATTATTTATTTGCATGTACTTAATAAATGTTATTGATATGAACATTATTTATTTTTGTAGAGTTGTAATATTCTTTTTTAACATTTTCAATCCCATATGGTTGTACTTACTTAAATACCCAATCATTTCTACTCAAATCTCGTCCACTAAACTGCAAAGTTACTTCATCATGACAAGCTAGGAGTTCTTCTGCTTTAACAATTACTTGACCTTTATTGTTAGGTCTAACACCTTTTAATGGTAAAGTGACATTTACCGAAGAAACAATCTAAAAAAATTTAGTTATATAATTAAAACATAAATTTATTTGTATGATTAGATTAAGCTGACAACTATTGATGTACTATTTAAAGATCATTTTATTGTGATATGATTCTTAAACTTTTAAAATATAATCAAGAAAATTTTAATCTTATTATAAAAATAATACATTTTAAGATTTTTTTTGAATTTCGAAAAGCTTATATATATATAAATATATTATTTAACTGGCAAATAAATATAACACATAGATAAAAAGTTTATGTTAAGTATTCTATAAGTTTGAATAAAGGATAAAAAGAGGGACACATTGTTTTTATCTTTATCTTTTTCTTACAAAGGATATTTACCTACAAGCAAGAAAAAGAACAAAATATTATGACCACCTAAGCTATAGTTTAGTATAACAATTACTCATAATAAAAAAACTCTAAATATTTAATTGGTAATTCATTTATACAGTTGTTAAGTTATTAAGTTGAGTTATTTAAATCTTTTAAAAAAATTAATTAAAATATATTACATGACCCAAAGTAGTTTCACATGAACCCAAAAAATCTTGAGATTTAAGATCATTTAATCTTGAATCAACATCATATACTTCAAATTTTATATTTTGTTGTACTTCAAAACGATACAAAACATGAGCCTATAAAAATAAAATTAATAAATATAAAATTTTATACTTAATTTATATAAAGTCTATAGTACTTACTTTTGTTACAAAATCAGGATTTAAACTATTATTGATACATTCTGTTCGACATATTTCAACCCATCTAGATGTTTCTGGCGTCTTCATAAAAACAACACAGATTGGATCAGACTTGGAAAATACATCACAATCTAATAAATTTCTATAAAATTAAATAATTATAATTAATACAAGACAAAAGGCAGGGGATGATAATTTTTCATAATTTAGTTTGTTTTTATTTTTAAGAATTTCAAAAAATATATTAAATATAAATTTGTTAGTATTTAAATCTAAAATTTATGGCATTTCAATAAAATATTAAAATAATTAACAATATTAATAATTTAGATCTCAGAGTTGATTAAATAAGTTTACTAGCTGTATACCTGCAAGACAATGTTAATTCAATCTCTGAAGTGGGCTCTGTAGAAGAACCGGGGATAAAAGCTGCCATTCTAAAATCAACAATATATATTGACTAAGTAAATTTGATCATACAGTTTTAAGTTAATTGGCACTTAATAATTCTAATAATTTTCAATATAATTCGTTAAAAATAAAATTTTGTCTAAAAATGTATTAAAATCTCTCGTATAAAATTTGTACTATTATCAGATATAGATTAGATTATTATTTTATTAAGCTTTGATAAAATTTACATTATTAACAATACATGTTGATAATACAGTTTTATCTTCCTTAAATATCTTGATAATATAACATGGGCTAGGCGCTTGATAATTGATAGAGTAAACCCAACCAAAGAGAATATATTAAAAAAAATGTTTTTTTACTTTACAAAGTATAGAATTTTGCACATTTATAAGTTACCTTTCATGTAGAGAAAATCAATTTAATTGTTTAAAAATTATCAAATGATATTTGAAAAAATAACATTTCATTATTATTATCAACTAATTTTAGGTTCCCGCGTTAACTCCAAGGACAATGTATATACACTACGTAGATTATCCCCGTAGATTTCACCCGATTTTCCTCCTGTCTGTACTTACTACTTGTGTAAAAGGCGGATGTGTTGTGTGCATTTTCCAACGATCTACTAAAGTTTATTTAATATCAAAATAATAACAGCTTATTTACTTAGTATAGTATAAATAAAATTTTTTTTTTTACTGTTGCTCTTAAGTCAATGATATTCGACAGTACTAGACTATAATTATTTTAAATGTTGCAAACCGAAAAAATGCCTGATCTAGTGGAAGTAATGAGGATGGGCAAGGATCATCGTCTTAAACATAGACAGTTACCCCTACAAGTCGATGAAAATTTGACTGTAAGCATTTATTTTGCATACAGTTTTGAAAAATGACTTTTACACAATAATTATTTTACATATATGCCCCACTTCTTTTGTAATTTATAAAAAAACTCGATCAACCTACATAATTAAAGACATTTTGTAATTGGATTTTATTTTTATGATTTTATTACTTTTTCATTTTATTACTTTATTATACTTAAAATATAATGAAATATTAAAAGTTTTAATTAATATTTTTTTGTATTGTTTGTTTTTTAGTTGGTTATGGATTTGAGTAATGAAGACTTAGTTCAAGAAGTAAAACAAGTACCTCCATTAAAAGTTCAATCACTGGATAGTTTTATAAAAAAGTACCGAATGTTGAACAAACGTGAACTCCAAGATGTTTTAAAAGTATCTATTAAAGAAATATTAGACATTATGAGTGAAAGTATAGACTGTGTTGGATGTCGAAGAAGGTAAAAAGTTTTATATAATATAATGTTTACAATTTACCTATGTTCTTTTGAATGACTATATAATATAGCTCAAAAATAAATAACTAATAGAAATTATTATTAGCGATTTTTAATTTTAAATACTAAATAAATTTCATATTTGAAAATTCCATTTAATCGATATTCAACTAGTGATAAGAAATTATATGAATTAATTTATAAATATATAATTTTTAACTAAATTGATATTGTATAAATAGATAATTAGCAACATGTTACTTAATCTACATATATAATATTGATCTTTATTATTTATACTGATAAAAGAACTAAAATTTTATAAGTTGTACTTTGATAATTTTTAAAAATAAAAATTTTTAATTACAAGAAATTATGTGTATTAAACATATATTATATTAAAATCAAAAATAATGATTTTAAATTACAATATTAAATGGAAAAAAAAAGGAAATGAATGATATAATATTAATATTTAGTCTTATTAAAGTTAATTCAGGTAAAACTTATTAAATAATTCTATTTACTCATCTCTTAATAAAATTATATCTTAAAAGAAAGTACTATTTGTAAGATTAATTCAAATCACAAATTTATCTCTAAATTTATAATTCTTTTATAGTGCTGAAAAACTATTTATTGAAATGGCTAAACTTGGTCAAAATGCATTATTTCCCCTTGTTGTGGTTAACAGCTATTTTATTTCTATAAGATATGAATTTTATGACGAAGAACGATGCATGTACAATCTACTTCAAAATACTAATGGGTAAGTTACATCAAAATATTTAAAAAAATTTTCTAAATATTATTTCTATATTTTAGAAATCGATTATCTTCAATAGCATCTAGTCGAAGACAATCAAAAAAAAGTAGAAGGTGTGTATATCATTCCCTTGAATCACAGCGTTTAGTAAGACCTATGGCTAGTGGATGGCAAGACATTTGGAAGCATATGACTGATCCTTGCAGAGATGAAATTGTACTCATAGAGTCTAGTAGTTTATTGAGTACTCTGGACAATTATTTAAGAAAACACAGGTATATTTTTATACATTTCTTTTAATTTTTATTTTGATATTACCCTGATGGTTTTATCTTAGATTTTGTGGAGATTGTCGAACTAAAGTAATGAAAGCATATGCGTTATTAATTGAAGAAGAAGATCCATCTAAAGAAAAAGGTTATGTAGAAGAGCTTTACTCTGGTATTAAACGATGTGTTGGTGATAAACATGTTCATTTGGACACAGACATAAACTATATAGGTGCATTAATTAGTCGTGCTGAACCTGAACTTATGGGAAAGTATGTATTATCTATTAATGAAGTAAAAAATTTATTTATTTGATACATATTAATAATATTAGCCGTAGAGAACGTCATGCCAAAACAATAGAAATTGCTCAAGAAGAAGTTTTAACTTGTTTGGGTATTTGTGTATATGAACGACTGCATAGAATACAATTAAGAATTAGAGAAGAGCAGTATACTTGTCAAGTCTTAGCTGCTGCAGCAATTGATGGGTTAGCCCGAAGATTTGAGGTAAATAATTAATACTGAATTGTTGAAAATTTTAAACTTAATAATTAGTGTTGTAGTTTTCAAAAAGCATTTTTTTTAATATAGACTTATATATTTATGTTTTTACTCTATTATTATAGACTGCTATAGAAGTTAAACAAGGGTATACCAAATTGGATCAGTTTTACAATGAGTTTTCTAAAAAAGAGAAAAAGACACAAAAAAGAAAACGGCTAAGGAAGCAAAAGCGATTACAAAAAAAAGAAATAAAACAAGATTCTAAAATAAAACCTTGTTGTGAGGTGAGTAATGTAAATAAATTTAAATAATTTATTTTAATACTAATTATAAAATTTTATTTAAAAAAATTAAAAAATACTAGGCCAATCTTGATGAAGACTGTTCTTGTGAAATTGATGAAGAAGTGGATTTTGTAGAAGATGATATTGATTACGTTGATGATGATGATGATGATGATGGCGTCCAATCAAATGTATGTTTTTATTTGTTAACTTTTTTATATTTAAAATTTTTTAAATTTTAATTTTAGGAAAGAGAGGATTCTGATGAAACTACTTGTGATCATATAGATGATAATTGTTCTTGTGAAAATGTACAATTGATAGAAAGAGTACGGAAAGTATGAAGTATTAATTTATTAGTTACTTTATAACATATAATATGTTTCTTATTTATAGATAAAAATGTCAGGTAACAGAATAAAAAGTGTTTCTACTCCTATTAAGTTGTGTGATTGTGCTGAATGTAATTCCAAAGGAACCAGAAAATCAAAAAAGGAAAAAAGAAACGATGAAAAAGAAAAACGCAGTAAAAAAAAGCAGTCTAAAAATAGCCGGAAAAATTCAAAGAAAGATAAAAAACCTAATGTACAATTATCAATTAAAAAAGAGGAGATAATAAATTATAATTTAAATGAAGATGATGAAGAAGATTGTGATCTTGATGATGAAATGGTAGATGAAAATCATTCAATGGAGCATAACTGCAAATCTAATACAATTAGCCATGATCTATTACCTGGTAGTTGTAGTTCATGCCCATCACTTTGTGATCATTCACAAGATTATGGTTATGCATCAGCAGAAAACAATAATCATAGTAATAGTACAAGTTCTCCAGATGGTTCAGATGTGGCTTGTTCAGAGGGTTTATGTAACCATTCAGGTAAATTTTGAGAATTAGAATTACTTAATTTTTTCTTTTGATACCATTTTTCATATGTCCTTAATCTAATTTTTTTTAGGGGAAGTTTCAAAATTAAAATGTTATTATGAAGTAGGAACATTATCTTGTAAACCACTACCACTCCATCAGTTATTATTTGAAGAACTGGTAAGATTTTATTTACATAAAAAGTTTATTTTAATATTAAATATGGTTTTTATATCTCTTTTAGTAGAAAAAATTTACTTTTGGATGAAGACTATCTTATTTAACATTTCCTAATATAAATATACCAAAATATATGATAATATAATATCTAATGGTTGTCGGTTATTTTACTATTATTGCTATTTAAATAATTATATAGGGATGACACACAAAATATAGATTGTGATAACAATATTTTACTGGGACTAATAATTAAAATATTCTTTAATACTATAGCTAAATTATAATTATTTTAAAAGTATAAAATTTTAAATTTATGTTATACTTTTTATAGTTCTATGATTGTAGATTGTTATGATAATATTTTTTATTACTAGGTTTTGTTTGTGTCATAATGGGTTTAGTGGAAAAGTGACAACCGTGGTATTTTAATACATGTATGAGTTTTCAAACCAAGATTTAATGAAAAATTTACATCTGTTGATATAGTTTTAGATGTATTTGATAATGTTAATTTTTTTAATTTAATCAATTTCAACCGCTAATAACTAAAAAGTCAAAGTGGTAACTTTTATACATTTCTACAATTTTGCTTTAACAAATTTAGTTTTATAAATTTGTTTTACTCCTTACTAAAAAAATGTTTGTAAATTTTAAAATATAACGATACATTTAAAAATTATTTGACTAAAATATTTATTTCATAACCGTTCTCATTTTACTTACAAATTGTTATATTTCATTAATGAGTCTTACACAGGTGTTTAAAAAGTAAGGTACAAGTGAACTGTTATAAACAATATGAAAAATAGAAACATGTGTCCATACTTACTAAACACCTATAATATAACAATATATATAGTATAATACACAAAATTTAATGTATAATGTACACTATAATATATAGGTTATGGTGGTCCTTATTTTTCAAACTCAATTATTTTATGAAAGTGCCCTCTAGATTAATTTAGTCATATAAGAAAATAATGTAGACAAAATTTGGAATGTTCTTTCTCAGCCCTTTTCTGGTACTGCATTGAGATTGAAATATAACAATTGAGTCATAGTTTTTTTTTTAAAAGTTAACTTCATAAGTATTATACTTAACATTAAAATATATAGAACCTTAATTATAAAACTAATTATTGCCTATAAAAAATGTATTAAAAAATTTTTTCATATATCAAGCATACTTTTAGATAAATAATAAAATGTGATGAATTCCATGAAAAGTTGACATAATACTTTTACACAAAGTTTTTATAAAATTAGTATTTCTTAAATATTATATTACATAAAAATTATTTAAAAAGTGAACTATTTAATTATCGACTAAAATTAAGTTAAAAAAAAACTTATTATATACTATAAAAACATAATTATTTTTAAACTCACACAACACAATATCTACCTAAGACCAGCATTTGCCTTCTAACACTCATAATTAGTTGTTCAGTAAGTAAAAAAACAGGTTTCTATTATTCTCAGAGTTAGTAAAAATTGACCTGTTTCCTTACTTTATGAACTCTATATATGTGTATATTTATAACACATTTCTAATTTATACTATGGAAAATGTATAAGTTATTTTTATTGAATAAAACAATTTTTTAAATTCACTTTTTTTTCTAGTTGATTTCTTGTACACTATAAAAAAATGTTGTTCATTTTCAGTCCTACTAATTAGATGATTTAGTTAAACAATTTTTATTACATATTTGTATAATAATCCATCATCACTCTTATTATAAACATTTCTATATAATTTTCAGGAAAAAAATACCATCATTAGAGATGAAACTCTAATACCGTCAGAAGAAGTAGAAATGTACAAGGTGTGTGCTATGTTGGTGAATGAAAAACGTCTCAAGCTCAGAGAAACACTGAAAAGTGGTTTTGCCAATTTAAAAGACCCTCTAATGTTATAATTTATTTCTGGAGTGATATTTCTCACTTCCCTTATTCCAAAAAATTTTTAAAAGCCGTTTTAGTTAATTTTTCATTATACTTACTTATATAATATAGATACATTTTTTTGCATATGTAAAAAATATTTTGTTTAGTTGATATTTGTGAATAAATTGTTCTGACTCCTTTTTATTAGATCAATACAAATTTATTTAAGAATATTTTTTATATTATAAATTAAATTTATTAGTGGAATATAGTAGTTTATTTAATAACCATTATTAAAAAAATGTCCCTATTACTTTTTAGTATTTTTTAATTTATCTTTCCTTTATCTTATTATATATATAAATATATATATAATGTTAAAAAAATGCATTTAAAGAAATATAATACAAGTAATCATATTTTATTTAATAATCAAACTTGTTATATAGTTTTTTTAGTAAGTTAAAAGCGATAACAAAAAGTAAAATTTTTTTTTATTGTTATAAAAAAATATCAAATTTTATATTGTAGTATACTTATGAATATTAATTCAAATAAATACTCAGAAACAGTGGCGTATTAAGCCACTATTTATTATACGATTTGAAAATTTTACTTCCTAAAATTTTTATTTGAGCAATATAAAATAATTTCTTTGCAGCTTACTCCAAAAAAAATTTGTGGCTTAAAAAAACATAAATTATAAGTAACATTACTTACATTTTTACACGAGTTTTATAGAGTTCATCAGCTATGATGCCCTCAAAACTCTTAAGGACAGTTGTTTCAGGTAGCCCCTGTGTAGACACTACAGATTTGGGAGGATAAAAGAAAACAAAATATTGCACTATAATTAGTTTAATTAATTGTTTTACAACTCAAAGGTGATTTATTATACCTAGATTTTATAAAAAAAAACGTTGAAAAATAACCAAAAATAATATTGGTGATTAAAAAAAGTTTCCTTATAAATAATAAATTTTGAACCCTAATAAGAAAAATAATGTAATTAATACTTAAGTACTCGAAATTATATTTTCAGTATGAAAAAGAGAAAAAAAATACTGCTCTATTATATAAAAATGTATTGTTTCAAAAGAATTAAGTGTTTTTTAACTTCATAAATACTATATTAACTTAAATAAGGGAATATTATAAATAAAATCTTTACTTTAAGTTTGAAAAAATAAATAACTGAAAATATTGATATGATTTTAACAAAATAAATGTCTAACACTTTATTTGAACTACTTTATAATGCAAATGTACATTAACAATATTATTAGTTGTGTTTCTATCAAAATATTTTATATTTAATGTCATTTACTGTAGTTGAATTTTCAGAAAGTTAAAATTATTTATTTATTTCATCAATTTACTATAAAAGGGGGTTAGTATAACTACCAATAAGTTTAAATCATGAAAATTTTATTTCAATAAGATTTTTTTATTACAATTTCATATTAATATTTAATTTAAACCTTTTTTAGATTTAAAGTTAAATCATATATTCTTTAATACAATTTGGTATGTTTAATTCATTAATATTGTACTCCAGTATACATCCAAGAAGCACATTTACATCAACAATTTTACCACTAACCATGTTCAAATATAATTTTTCTTTTTTTTTATTAGAATAGTAAATCCTAAGTCGTTTAGTAATAAAATCATTAGATAGCGATATTGTTCCAGCTGTGTAATATTTTTCATTACTTATTGAATATAATTCTACTTGTGCCTTTAAACTTTCCCAATTTTCTAACTTAGAGGCAGGTAAGTAAACAATTCGATAATTTATTCCAATTTCATCATATAGTTTTTTGTACATATAAACCATTTTATCAAATTGTTCTTTGGCTTGAAATTCACAAGCAGAGCCTATCAAATAATGAACAGCATTTGATTGAACAGTAGAAAATAGTCCTTCATCATAAAAACTTGGAAATTTATAAAGTCGACCAGATGCATATATTTTTAATGGTAATCTATTTCCAGCAATACATTGTTTTGTAAGAAGTGCACAGAGTGTAAGTAAATTGGCACCACCAACTAAATGTAGGTTATCTGCTTCGAGCTTTAATGTCGTAGTTGGATTATAACTATCCAGTCCACATCCTTCTACTATCACACTTTTAACCATATCTGAATTACAAAGTTGAGTAAAACCATGTTTTTCTAAAGACTCAATAAAATATTCTAATGTAGCCAATTCAAACATAGCTGCTTTGTTCTTTAAGTAAACCATAATAGAATTTTTGTACTCTAAACAACCAATTGTAGTTCCAATGTCTAAATGATTTTTTTTATTAATGTTATTGGATATTACATTATCAAAATTGTTAATATACAACATTTCTGATTTAGGACAATCAGGATGTAAGTTATTAGGTATATTTAGACTAGGTATAACTATTTCATTTTCTAAATCAGATATTTGCTTTTTGAGTACTTTTAACCTTGATGAAATAGAGTACCTATCATTTTTAATCTTTTTTAGTTCCATATCACTTAATTTTTCACTATTCTTTAGTTTTACTGCAATACTTTGTTTAAATGAAGTTAATTTTAAAATTTCATCACGAGTTTTTTGAAAACTAGGCCATTTGTCATAAATATTATCTATATCTAAGTTGATATTCCTTAATTTAAGATTTTCTTTTAAAATGGCTATGTTTGATAATTGATTTTTGAGATCAACAAAGGGTTCAACAACTACGTAAGTATCAGAAGTTTTGTTATAAGGTATATATAATTTAGATGTAGTATACAATCTAGGTAAAGTAATACAATTAAAAAAGTTATTGGACAATTTTTTAATCATTTTATACATCTATGTTTAAAGAACCAATATCAACTTGTTCAGGCTCTTTATATTCTTCAATGTTTAAAGGTTGAGTAGAAATTATTCTTTCCTTAGGAGCAACATAGCTTCCAAAACCTGCTGCACGTTCAGATTCTTCTATACTGTAAGGTTCAAATTTTAGTTCTTTTATACGTTTTTTATGTAACTTAGTTCGAAAATGGTCTTTTAATACTTGTTCACTTAAAAAGTACCGCCTGTTTAATCAAATAAATTAGTAGAAAATGTTCGGATATAAATGAATACTGAAATTAAAAAAACCTACGCGCAATGTATACAATAATGCTGTCCCTCTCCAGGCTTATCAAAATCAAGGGCTTGCTTTAATAGACGGTCAGCATTTTCTTTCCTTAAATCATTGTCAACCTGAATCACAATTTTTTCAACAAAAAATGTTAATAATGAATAACACTTAAAATTTTATAGTTTTCATAATTATATGAGTATTTTATAATCAAAAACTAATATTAAATACAACGAAATTTATCATTTTTATACAATAAATTACAATGCAAACAATTATTTTGAATGAAATTATTGAAGTACATAATTACCTCATCAATATCTCTAGCTCTGTACTTGGTTTTATAATTCCTTTTATAAAATGTGTCACCTACGTGATGCTTCTTTCTTTTCTGAGGTCCAGGCATCTGTAATTTTTAGGGTTTACGATAACCTCGTGACTAAAGTAAATTCAAGTTCACAGTTATCAAAAAGATTAAAGCACAGACAATGTCCATGGAGTAGGCACACGTAAGGTATCTTATTTGTAACCATTGATAAGAATCTGGTAACTATAGTATTTCATCATAAATATTTAATGGCATTTAATTTACTTGGGTTCCGGAGATTGCCACGAACTGATGATGCCCCGACATTCATTTACTCCGACACTGTAAAAAAATCCTCCGAATACATTTACTCCGACAACAATTACTACGAATACCTGGTTACAAAAATTTGAATGTTGCTACGACGACGAATACTCCGAATAGGACTATTAATTGATTGTTCCGAATGAAATTAGCTCCGAATATCGATTATTCGCGAAATCGATTAAAAAATTATCAAATTTCGGAGTAGATGAATATCGTAGCAATGTATTGTCTGATGGAAAAATATAACCCTTATCTTTAATTAATATAATAAAATAGCGTTATAATTGATTACTGTTTATTAACGAATAATTATTACAATAAAGATCCCCGAAATATATCCGACTTTTGATAAAATAGGTACATAAAGGTAACATAACTGGTGTGAGCCCTTAAATTTTTTTTTGGAGGGGAAAGAAGAGCGATTCCAATTTTCAGACGTAAAATCTTTTTTACCTCTCCTTATTAGTGCTTATTATAACATTGTAAGCACATTAATATTATAACATTCAATTAGTTTAGTTAAAAAATATTGAGGTACGTTTTTATGATGATAGTATTCGTTATTAAACAGATGCGTTTATAAAGATATTCGGTATCCCATTCTCTAAAACTGTCATTACAATTAGTTTCATATGAAATCAAACAAAAATATGATTTAATATCATTTCATTGTTCAAAGGTGGGTAACGAAATTAATTCAGTCCAGTTTGGATTTGACCGCAATCTGGAGAGACTTGAGGGGGCTTTGTCTCCTAAAATTCTGCCATAGACTATACCGAAAATGAATTAATTTGTATTTCTTGTTGTATAGAAATATTTTTTTAGATTAGGTAAAAAATTATGTAATTAGAGTTCCCAAATATTTTGTTGCAATACTCCTACGCTCTAGTCAAATTAAGTAAACACAAGGCAGTTATAAGTTAACAGTGGACAATAGTTTATGATTTATCATAAACTTACAAAAATCTTCTGCTAAGTAAATTGGTTTTAAACTTAACTAACTCGATTAAAAATATGCAGTCAATTCATTAAATAATGGTTCAGTTTTTTTTCATTTGCATTATGATTATTTGAAGTTTTGTCAAATATTCGTATAGAGTTAAATATTTTTATTTGTAATCATGATTTATAATCAAACAATTATTCATTTTTTCTCATTAAATGGAAATCAAATATAATAATGTAATATTGAAACAGTACAACTTTTTTTATAGGACATATATATATATATAATTACATTTTTACAAAACATAATTCATTACATTACGTGATTTTATTTTGAAAATTATTTTTTATTTTTTTTGGAATATGCTTTCATATTCTAAAAAGTACATATAAAATTAATTCAAATTTTTAAAAAAACTTCATTTTGTATTTATAAAACAATACATTTGTATTTGCAGGATACGCGTTAAGCTAACGAGATGAAAACATTGGCAAAATAATCATCTTTTCGCAGTGTCGGCCTGGCTCAGAAGGCCCTCATTAAATTTAAGATTTTTTTTCTCACTGGACCACTGAGAAAATTGTCCAACAAATTTAATTATTATTAAAAAAAGGAAAGGCTATTCAGATATTTTTTTCAAGGAAATATTAAACTGATTTCAATAAATGTATATTAGATTTTAAACAAAAAGAACTTTAAATAAATAATTTTTTACTCCTTAATATTTTTAACTTTTTTTTGAGCACCACTGGAGATTATAATGGTTTTACTTATAATTTAACATTGATTATAAAACTCATGTCACAAAATTAAATTTTTTTAACGATGAGTTAATATATTTTTAATTTTAGATGACACACAGAATTTTTAAATAAGAAAAAATTAATTCTACTTATATATAACCAAAACTTACTAATTCTTAGCATAACTCATATTAGACTTGTAGCAAAACTTACACAGTTTAATACTATTTTAATTTTTTTTAATATAAGTTAAAAATAATTTTAGTAATTAATTTTCAATTAAAATTGCTGAAAGAAAAATTAATCATACTCTTCTGAGTCTATAAAAACCTATTGGAAGAAACTTCCAGAAAGTAATAAGACTAAAAAAAATGTGTTCAACAATTACTGCATTGAAGTTGGATATACTGTGTTATTTTATACTTAGATATCCTAATGCAGCACAGGAAAAAATCCAGACATCCCCAAGAATGATTTTATATTGTACAAACAATTTTATGTGTTATATTAGTTATTATTTTTTAATATTACACACTTAGGAATTAATCACTAATAAAATTGCACAAGACAATTTTTACAGCACATATTTGTTATAGAAAAATTAGTTTTCAAATGGATCTC